ATGGCGAGGCGGCTGCGCGGAGCCCCGGCGCCCCCCGCCCTCGTCGAACGGCGTCCGCCCCAAACAATGAATGGGAGCGGCGAGCGCTGAGCGCGGCCCCGGAGCGCGGAGGGCATCGCTCCCCGGCCGCCCACCCGGCAAGGATGCCGAGGGCAGGGAAGGCGGGCCGGTCCCTGGGACTGCCGCGTGTCTTCTCTTTCTGTTTGTTCTTGCACAGCTCCTCTGCTCAGATCCGGTACAGCATCCCGGAGGAGCTCACCCGGGGCGCCTTCGTGGGCAATATCGCGAAGGACCTGGGCACCGATGTGGCGAAACTGGCGGCAGCTAATCTGCAGGTACTGTCCGATTCGGATTCCCAGTACTTCTCGGTCAATGTGAACACTGGCGTTATAATGGTCAGCGAGCGGATAGACAGGGAGCAGCTCTGTGGGCAGAACCCCCGCTGCTTCCTCCACCTGAAACTTGCCATCGAGAACCCAGTGGAATTTTACCGCATCGAGGTGGAGATCCTGGATATCAATGACAACCCCCCGGAGTTCCCCGGTGATGGGGTTTCCTTGCGCATCTACGAGCTGGCGTCCCTGGGTGCCCGCTTCCCCATCCAGCCTGCCCAGGACCCTGATGTGGGCACCAACACCTTGCAGACCTATCACCTGAGTGCCAATGAGAACTTCAACCTCAACGTGAAGGCGCGCACAGATGGTGGGAAGTTCCCTGAGCTGGTGCTGGAGAGGGCCCTGGACCGGGAACTCAGAGCTTTCCACCACCTGGTCCTGACCGCCGAAGATGGGGGCTCTCCCCCCCAGTCCAGCAAGACACACATCACTATTCAGGTCCTGGATGCCAACGACAATCACCCGGTCTTTGACAGACCTTCGTACGGAGCCCGCTTGGTGGAGAACTCACCGCTGGGCACCCTCGTGGTGAAGTTAAATGCCACCGATGTGGACGAAGGGCCCAATGGAGACATCCGCTACTCCCTCAGCAGCCACAACTCAGCTGCCTTACGCCAGATCTTTGCCATTGATGAGCAAACTGGGGAGATTCGCGTCCAGGGCAACCTGGACTTCGAGGAGGCGACAGTGTATGAGATCGAAGTGGAAGCCAAGGACATGGGATCGCCCACGATGGAGGAGCACTGCAGTGTAGTGGTGGAAATCACTGATGTGAACGACAATGCCCCCGAGGTCATTCTTACCTCCTTCTCCAGCTCCCTGAGCGAGGACGCACCCCCGGGCACAGTGGTGGCCGTGATACACGTCAGAGACAGGGACTCTGGTGAGCAGGGGAAGGTCCAGTGTCACGTGTCTCCAGATCTTCCCTTCCAGCTGCGTAAGGACTATGAGCACCAGTACTCGCTGCTAACCAGCACCCGTTTGGACCGGGAACACGTTGCCTACTACAATGTCACTGTCTCTGCCTCGGACCTGGGCAGTCCCCCGCTCTCCCGCCACACCATCTTGCCAATTGCCCTCGCAGATGTCAATGACAACGCGCCCCAGTTTGAGCAAGAATCCTACGAAGTGCTGGTGGCAGAAAACAACCCGGTGGGCAGTGTGCTGGTTACAGTCTCTGCTGTGGACCCTGACTCAGAGCAGAATTCCCGCCTCTCCTACTCCATCCTGCGAGCTGGTGGGACAGATCCAGGCCTGGATCCAACTCGCTACCTCTCCATACATCCCACAAGTGGGCAGGTCTCTGCCAAATTCCCCTTTGACTATGAGCAAACCACCTATCTCCAATTCCATGTGGAGGTTTCTGATGGTGGCTCCCCGGCCCTGAGGAACAGGACGCTGGTTCACGTTTTTATAGTGGACCAGAACGACAATGCCCCGCAGGTGCATTTCCCCAGGGCTGGGGAGGACTCCGCTACCCAGTTCCGAATCTCCCCCTCCACCACCCCTCCTGCTCTCATCACCAAGGTGGTGGCAATAGATGCTGACTCGGGGCGCAATGCCTGGCTCTCCTACCACCTTGTGGAAGCCACAGACCCGGGGCTTTTCAATGTGGCCCTGCGCTCCGGGGAGATCCGGATCGTGCGGGCCCTGCAGGAGACGGATGCCTCTGCACATGAACTGCTGGTGGTAGTCCGGGACGCTGGGGAGCCCCCGCTCTCCACAGCCGTCACGCTGGTGGTGCTGGTGGAGGAGAAGGGCCCAGAGGCCTTGCAGGGCTCTGAGGCTCAGGCCGCCGACGGTGGGGGCTTACCCACAATTACGCTTTATCTGATTGTGTCCCTAGTGCTCATCTCCACCGTCTCACTGGTGGGACTGGCAGCACTGGGCGTGCGATGCCTCCGGCGGGGCTCTGCACCTGCCAACCAGGGCTGCTGTGTGGAGAGCGTGAACACACTTCAGCCCCCTCCCAGCCACATTTTTGGGCACTTGCACTACGAGCCTAAGCAAGGGGACACGGTGATGGGTGTCCCCGGGACA